TTTTTCAAAGTTGGGATCATGTTTCAAATTTCATGAAAAAATACGCCGCTACTAAAGGTCACAGAGTGCGAATTGGTAGTGGTGGAAAAGTAAATAAAGCAAAGGAAGTAATTAAGCGAACTTATTTATGCCGGCATGCTAGACAAGCAAAGTCTAATCGGACAGCACTTATGGAGAAATAGCATTTAAATATGTCCTCATGTAGAATCGGGTGCCCGTGAAAGGTTAATATTTGAAACAAAAAAGACAAAGGCCATTTGGAAGTTACGACTTTACATGATCAGCATATTGGTTATAAACTTCACCCATTAGCAGTTCGATTTATTCCAACATTACGCAAACTACCAGAAGAAGTCATTGAAGAAATTTGTTTTTTAACCGTCATTGCCAAAGCAAATGCAACCATTCAATATAGAGTTATTAGAGAAAAGTTCAATATTAGAATTATCTGATAAGATCTTTATAATGCCATAAGCAAGTTTCGTCGCAAAATAGCACCAGGTGAAGCAGATACAGGGATTTTACTAAAAAGACTCTATAGCAAAAAAATGGAGAACCCACGTTGGGTAATTTCAATGAAACTTGATCTGGATACTTCTTCTTTAACTCATCTTTTTTGGATGAATCCCGAACAACACATTTTATGGTTGTGCTACCATGACATAATAATGCATAATAACACTTGCAAAACCAATCGCTATGATCGTCTTTTGTCCCTCTTTATCACCCCCGATAACAATTTGAAAGCGCGAATTGTGACCCAAGAAATTGTTGACGATGAAACTCAACTTTCATATGAGTGGGTCTTTCGATGTGAAGGAAGCAATCGGTGTACCTCTGAAGGTATTTGTTACGAATGGCGATTCAGCAGTTAATGGTGCGGTTATAACAGAATTTCCCAATACTTATCATATACATTGTATATGGCATATATATCAGAATTTACCCAAACGACTAAAAGGAGAGCTTAGTTCTAGTTTTAGTGACTTTATGAAAAATTTTTTTAAAATGAGAAATAGCTTAACGGAAAAGCAATTTAATGAGAGGTAGAAAATGTTATTACAAAACTACCCAAATCAAAAGACTATTTAATTCGTTCCTTAGGAAACAATCCTCAATCATAGGCTCGCGCGTTCACAAACAGATATTTCACTGCTGATGCGCAATCAACCTCTTTTAATGAAAGTGAAAATTCAATGTTGAAAAGGCTTCTTGGGAACTCTAATAGTTCACTATGTGAATTGTTTGATGCCTTAAAAGAAAGGTATCAAGAGGAAAGTGATTATTGTGAGTTTGTGAATTGGAAGCAAACGATACCACAAATAGGATGTCAAAATACGACAAATGCTATTTTTAGACCAGTAATAGAATAGTTAAAAGAGTTTGTAATGCCAAATATCTTGAAGAGGCAAGAGGAGCAAATGAGTCTAAGTCTTTATTATCATGCTACAGAGGTTGAGCTTGAAGTTGTTCTTTCTAAAGAGCAGGTAATATATAATTAATCTCAGAGGTGAAAATTCTCATGAAATAAGTTTCTAATTAAAATCTTTCTTATTTAGGTACTTGACGAATCCGACCAATGTATTGAAAACCTATTTGACTGCCCACAAATACAATTAGGTTCATTTCTGGAGGATACATCGACAATTATTGAAATTTGGGAGATATTTTACTTAACGAATCCAAATACATCGCACTTCATATATCTTCTAAATGATGGGACATTTCTTTGCACATGTATGATTAACAAAACTCACGGTTACCCATGTCATCATTTTTACCGTTTAATGACTCTTACGCCTGTTGCAAGATTTCATATTGGATTAATTAATCGACGTTAGTATAAAGATATATTACAAGAAGCCGATGTGTCAAATAATACATTTGTGGTTGTTTCTTCTTTAAATATATCAACATTAAAAGCAGTTTCTTTGCCAATCCAGTTTTTATGTTCAACAAATGAGTCTGATGTTCAAGTTGAAGGGCTTGCTGTAGTAGATAATAAAATATCTAAATCCATCTCAAAAAAATATAAGTTTGGCGAACTTTGGAGATTAGGAAGGAAAGTGATGGTTGACACAATTGAAGATGATAATGAGGAAAATTATCGCGAACTTTTTAGAGTTTTTTATCAATTCAAAAAAAGTCACAACAAAGTATCATTAACAATAATAATATTAGCAATAATGATGATGGCGATAATGATAATGATAATAATGGTGATATTATAGATAATAATATTATGGATATTCAAAATCCAATTATACAAAGATCAAAAGGTCGTCTCAAATCTAAAAGAGTCAAAAGTTCCTTAGAGCAGTCTAATATAGGGTTAAGTAAAATTCAATATAAGTGTAAGATATGCAAATAAAAAGGTCATAATAGTAAAACTTGTAAAGAGCAAAACAAAGAAAACAATGACGATGAAAGGTAAATTTTACTTTAC